CACTTGGATGCCACTCTCTAAACAGCTCATTAAAACACCTGCACATGTTAAATGGTCTCTCATTGTAGTTCTGTGGGCTGAACAGTGATTGGCAGACTGCTGACTTTAACAGCTGTGCAAAAGAGAACCACTGACACCGTGCATAAAGAGGGCAAAACACAAATTGTCCTTTCTAAAGAGGATGGCTGCACACAGTCCGGGGGCCATAGTCTCCCTGTTCCTTTGGCCTGCAGACTCACCTGATTCCATGCCACACCATATTTCTGCAGTTATTCTTATAAATGTTTTCCTTTTCCATAAAATTACTGAATACACTTTTTCATGGTATTCCACAATATGACCAGCACCTTGATAAACAAAGGAGAACATTTTGGCTTCTGGCCTGTAGGTGTCACTAAAGTATAGTCTTCCACTATATAGTGTACCATTACACATCGGTCCCCTAAAATTTAAAGGTTTTCCAAAAATCAGCTTAACTGTTGAATCTCCAAATTAAAATCTGTTGCAGTGCTGCTGGTGTTCCTAAAATCTAAGTTGTTTATGTTTGTGTTCATGTGTGCAGGTGTTAAATGAAGTGGTGGTGGATCGAGGCCCGTCCTCCTATCTGTCTAACGTAGACCTGTACCTTGATGGACGCCTCATTACTTCAGTGCAGGGAGATGGTGAGAGTTAAAAGAACTCTAAACATCTGAATTTTGCCTCCACAGCAAACACTTTCTGTTTTATTTCAAGGGGACCACTGAGTGAGCAAGTGTCCTTATGTGTCCTCTAGGAGTGATTGTGTCCACGCCCACTGGGAGCACAGCGTATGCAGCTGCAGCAGGAGCCTCAATGATCCACCCTAATGTCCCTGCCATCATGGTCACACCCATCTGTCCCCACTCCCTGTCCTTTAGGCCCATTGTGGTCCCTGCTGGCGTGGAACTCATGGTAAACATGTTTGAACTGAGTGAAGAGGTCAAGAGATGCAGATTTGTTGCAGGGCAAATGGGCGTGGGCAAGCGTTGAAAAAGGAAGATGATTGTGGAAAAATATTAGTGTTTTTAGATTCTCTTATTCCTTTTAAGTTTCAGTTTTACCTTCTGTGCCTCCCTCTGTCCATCCGTCTGTTTAGACTTCCTCAGCATTATACCTTTCATATAAATTAATTGTAATACTTTGATATTTGTACTTGTAAAATGGAGAGAAAATGATTTGGAAATTTGGAAAGTTGATTTAAGAAACTTAAAGAAACGTAGCTCTACCCTACATAGAAGTTAGCAGGGATTCAATACAGACTGTTTGTTTGTTTCAGATCACTTTATCTCCTGATGCCAGGAACAATGTCTGGGTGTCATTTGACGGTAGGAGGAGACAGGAGATCCAGCATGGCGACTGGTAAACTGCAGTAACCCTCATCTGTTTCAGCTTCCTTGATAGTTCTCCTTATTCAGTTTTTTTTTTTTTTTTCTGTTTCCTTATCACAGCATCAAGATTACCACGTCTTGCTACCCTGTACCGTCCATCTGCTGCCATGACCTGGTGTATGACTGGTTTGAAAGTCTGGCGCAGTGTTTACACTGGAACGTCCGCAAAAGGCAGGCCCGACTCACAGACGTCTCTGACTCATCGGACACGGAGAACTAAAGGAGAGCCGCTGAAGGGATCAGGTTTTCTTGGAGACCAGCTTAGACTGAAGCAGATCAGTGTTAAACAGCTCCTGTCAAACGCATGATTATACAGGATATCACAAGCATTGTAGCCCTGAGACATAATATCATCCACACTGCATCTTTGTGTGTAGTGCTTTAAGACATGAAAGAATTAGTTGATCACATAACGCTGTATAAGCTTCAAAGAGTACTTTACACTACCCATACTTAAAAAGCAGCATGCTATAGAAATGGCTCAGGATAAATAAAAGCAGAAGTAGAACGATCTTTAAAAGAAATGGGCAGACTGGACCTCCATCTCAGCAATTTTATGTAAATTTGTACATACAGATCTCTAGTTCCAGTGTATTCAGTGTTATATTTATGTTCACCTAGTTCAAGAAATAAATTGATAATGCTAACGTTGAACTAAAGTATCCCTGCTGTTGTTTCCTGCAGAATCTAGAGCCTTTATTTTGTTGTTTGAAACTAAAGCTGCAGTCAGACTGTATGCAACCATGTGTGTGTATCATGTTTAAAACAAAACCTAACAAGTGATTTGGCAGAAATGAGAAAATAAAAATCTAGACATTTCTCTTTGTTTTTTTTTATGTTGAAATTTTTGTCAAACCAAGAACTTCAATATGTTCTTATAATGCAGTAACACGTCTTTCTAATAAAGATTTACACATTAAATACTAAAAATGGTAGAGAATGTGATACAGCTGTCCTGAGGTAAGAGCTCAAAAGGTCATAGCTAAGGAGGCTAATAGAGTGCTAAAAAAGTAAAAAAACAAACCACTTGAATCTGTTTTCCAAGTTTGAAGATGTTTTGCTTCCCATCCAGGAAGCTTTTTCAATTCAAAATGTCTGGATTAGCATTGAGTTCCAAGCTTTATAGAGTGGTCCAACAAAGCCTTATGGCTTAAAAAACATGCAAATAGAACTGAAAGAACATGACCACCCCTTAGTAACGGGGAGTCATTGTTGGTCTGCAATAGCAAGCATAGCCACCAGCATAGCAGAGCGCTGGATCATAAAGCATTGATTGAAGTTGAGTGGAAGAAAATTGTGAGTTAATATGGATGATTACATGCAATAGCAAACAGAAGTGTCTGTCATGGGCTGGACTTCAGTAAGGAGGTGCATTGAGGACCCAAATGTTGGCGTTCTATACTGAATTTTGGGTCTAATTAGCTGTAAGCAGTGTTACTCAAATTTCTAAAATTGAGTACTTTTCTATAATGTTCTGAACTTTAATTACGTCCTAAGCTGGAATTTGGTGTTTTGTTTTTTTAAGCAAGTTTTTGTCATGATTTTCAGTTTTAGTACGCACTGCATCATTGAATAACATGTTTTTCTTTTTAAACACAGGTAAAAACTTTACAGAGACTCAAATAATTTCTAGATTTTTATTGCAATAACAGATATAATCCAGATATCCAGTTTCAGAAAATGCCTCTCAGGAGACAGTCATGAAATAATATTAAGGTGATGAGAAAGACCAGAGATAAAATGTGGAAGTTTTTACATTTTTATATTTATTTTCCCCAGAGAAGTGATGAGAAGCAGCAGCAGCTTAGAATAACACTACAATACACAACAGACCGAAAAGCTTGTAGATTTCATGTGAAATGGAAAACCAGAGGCTGACTGCAAACAGGTGTGCTTCTGCCCAATGGAAAAAAAGGGGTTAAAAACAGAATGTTAAACAAAACAAACATGCAAATGAGAAAGAGATACACACCTTATTAGGACTATGGCAGGATAAAAAATAACATAAAACTGTAACACAGATTAGACAAGTTCAGGTAACATGAGGAACATACAGAAAGCAGCGCAGATGTAACTGCTTTCTTAACTCCAGGTAAACAACAGATCATTGGAGGGAGAAAAGCAGACCTGGCAACATACAACCGAGCACAATCACACACTTGACATTGTGGCAAATCTAAAAATGCTGTAATCCAACGGTTCCCAGATTCTACCTGTAAAAGTTAGACTAGATGACTCGGATGAGAACAATAATTAGACACAAATGAGCAGAAGTCTTGTTCCATAGTTTTAGACTTTGAGTACTATATGCATATATCTGGTACATTAATAGAATCCATATATAAATGATACATTTCTGTTTCATACTTAAATATAATCCTTGCTATGCCTATAAAGAGCATCTAATCCGTTCTAGCCCGAAGATAAAGTGAAACAGCTTGGACCTCAGCTGATCAGTGAGCGGATTTGGACTCAAAAAAATAAGCCCACTGATTGCTTGTGCAAGACTAGATACGACTCCTTTGGATTACAGTCTAATGTGAACACATTTAAACCAAAATCCTCTTTCTTTACTTGCATACCGTCATCTTTGTGCTGTGTTTCATCTGTACGCTTTAAGAATGTGAAGAATTGGGACAATGCCTTTCCAAAATGAACGGCTTGATTAAATCAAGCTCAGCTCTTCATGTTGATCATGCTGAAATTGTATCATCTGGTGTGTTTGGCACTAGAGTTCTCTTTATATCTGCTCATGTTCCCAGTGCTTTAGTCAACTTATGGTTTTACACAGACACACTTCTTCAGCAACTTCTGCAATATAAAAAAAAAAACTAATTAGTATGCCAGCTGTCTCCAGGAGCTTAAATGTGTTCTTGAGGGCAAACTGAATGAAAACAAAGTTCATACTGAGTGGACAACTATTATAAGCCAAAAACAATCCCAAAGTAAACGTCTCAATTGATCAGAATCGAACCATAACCCAATTCAGTTCAAAAAGTTAAACCAAGATTCATTATATGGTAAAATATTTCAAAGCGTTTTTGTTTCTGTTCATTTTTAAGATTATGGTTTACAGCCAAAAATTGCTTACAGAAAACCCAATTGTTTATTTATTCTAAACAGAATTGTCATGTCTATGTTAAGGCCTTTCTAGTCAGACAGTCTTCACTAAATAAGCTGGGTGCACTGAGATCTGTTTTCAAGCACAAGTCCTGGAAGTTTAGTGGAAGAAAAACATTCGGTAAAATGGTTGCAATGGGTAATTTAAAAGCCAGACATTAATGGGAAGTTAAATGAAAGCAAAAAGTGCAAAAGCAACAGGGATAGAAGCATTGTACTGCTGCTAATGAAGGAATAGATTAGGACCGTTGTTGTGCAGCTTAACATTTATCAGCTAAAAGCCATAATCATCAAAATAAACAGAAGTAAACACTCTGAATGACTGTGTGCTGATTCAATCTGTTTTCTTTATGAACTGAATTCATACAATAAAAGAACTAATCGATTGAGATTAACCTGAAGCTAGTACCTAAGCGACCCATACTAGTCTTAATTTTGTCACAATGTGGTCTTTTTCTTTAAATAAAGCCCAGGATTTGGTCCATCCGTGTTGAGGATTGAACAGCTGGCACACTGATCACTGCTGCCTGAGGAATGCATCAGACTCACTGGTTTATATGAAACTCTGAGGACGACACCAGTGCTGTGCTTCCTGAACAATCCAATATGACGCCACCTTGATTTGACTCCATATAATCCAAGTGATGCCGATGTAAACCCCGACCTTGTAAGACAAGGAACCGTAACAGAAAACCCTCAGAGGTGATGCTTTGGTCTGATGGGTTCCTCAGGCAAACACGTCCAGCAGCAGTTTCATTTGAACATAAATAACATTTCATTGGAGAGGAATCATTTCCATCATAAGGCTTATTTTTTTTATACATTTTCCCCATCATCATAGCCGTAAACCTTTGAGGGGTCTGTCTGTCTGTCCCGGTTCTGTTTAGTAGAAGAGCTCACCAACATGAGATGAAGCCTCTTTGCACTCAGAGAGGCGGGACTAGCAGGTCCTGGATCACAGCAGGGAGGGAAAGGAAGGCAGAGGACAAAACTATAGTGATGGAACAGGAAGTTTATTTCTCAGCAGTCTGGGGTTTCGACTCACTCTCGCTACTTTCTTTCCTCTCGTTTGTCTCCTCGTCTTCCTCCTCTCCTTCTTCATCCTCTTCCTCCTCTTCTGTGTGCTGCTCCAGCTCCTCTCTGGTGATCATTTCAAAGTCGTTTCCGTTGCTGTGCTGCGAGCCTTCGTCCTCCCGGCGGTCACTGTCTGTATCCGAGTGGCGGTCGTCTGTTTCTTCTCGCTTTGCCTCCTTGCTCTCATCTTCGTCCTCTTCCTCATCGTCAGCATCCTTCTTCTCGCTGTCCGACTTCTCGTCACTGTCCGACTTCTGAGCCTTGAGGGAGGCGCCGCTGTCCTTGTCGTCAGTCTTATCTGACCCCTTCTTGTCACTGGTTCGTGGCCCTTTGTATTCGTGAGTGTAGAGCGGCCTGAAGGAGTCGATGAAGCCCACATCTGCTGTAAGGTTGGGCAGGAACCAGAAGTGATGACGTCCACCAGTCACCAGCCATATAATCAGGAAGAGGATGCAGCGAGCTGACGATGGAAGAAACAACATTTAAGACAGCAAGACTAAATGAATGTATTCATTCTATGGAAGTAACATGCTAAATACTATCGATACATTCTACAAATAAAGATCTTAAAACACAGATAGTCACCTAAATCCTCAGACATTTCTTACAGTAGAACAGAGTAGAAAACACACAGAGATCTCACCAGACAGGTCGAGGATAATGAGACGAAAGTAGGGTTTGATTATAAAGGAATAAATATATTTTTGAAAGTCTTACAGAAAACCAACCAATCTGTCATCTCTTTATAAAAATATAAAGACTGTGGAACAACACCAACCTAACAAACATACTGACAGGAAGGGCAAGACGGAAAAAAAAAACACCATGAGAGGTCCTGTTTGCGATATGCTGCTAGTTATGCAGGGGACACAAAGAAAAGAGGCCTTGCTATTAAAAATGATGTTTGGTGAAAACCTAGAAGAAAACCTGTTATTGGCCACCACAGACCTTAGGGTAGGACAGAGATCTGCCTTCCAGCATAATAGTATACTCTGCACCCAAAGCTATAATAGAGAGACAGGACCCAACCATGGTTAGAATGAGGGGTGTATTGATCTTTAAAAGCCTGACCTGCCTATTCAGATTCTGGCTCTTTTAAAACTGACCGTCAGGGGTAAGTTCCCAATACAGCTCCCAATGAACCAGTCTAATTTTGCTGAAGAACACTGAACAAAAGCCAACAAAAACAGGTTTTAAATGCACAAGAGATGGTGCAATCAACCGACTACCAGTCACCCAAAATGAAGGATATTGAGTCAGTCTTTGCACTGAAATCTGTGCAAAGACTCTAAACAATGTTTTCCAAAGC